CCCCAGGCCTCTGGGGATCGTCCTTGTGTAGCTTTGTTTGAAAAGTCTGGGCCAATATTCTGCTTCTCCTGACAATATTCTGGGGTTTAATGTGGTTTATTTGCATAGTTGGACTGTCTGACTCCTCATTTAGGTGGTTGTTCACCTCGTTCATCAATTAGATGAACAGCTGCAAATCTGACAAACAGCAGAGTTTAGATAATGCACATTATCATACATTAATTTATTCGAGAAAACTGATTTTTGGGCACTCCATAGTGTCTGTATTTCAGCTTGGGGTTCACAGGTGTTTTAACTCAAATATGTTCAATTTAATGCCTAAATTAACCACACCTTTTGGAAATTATGTTCCTGTCAATGCACATCCATAACTTTAAATGCTCTTTGAACCTGAAAATAATTCACAAATAATGACAAATCCCTCAATTTGTGCAGCTGAGGAAAGAGAAGTGTATTTTTTATGATATGTAAGTGTAATATGATTTTTTTATTATTATTTACATTGCACTGAACAGCCTATAGAAGGTTTATTTTTAAAAACTTAAATACTGATAAATTCTTCACTATTCAGTGTTGTTTGTATGATGTTTCCTGTCTGCTGTGTTACTGGTTTATATCTTCTCCAGAAATGGCACTTTTAATTAAAAATATTCAAATATTTGCTGGTGGAAAATATCTGTGGTGACAAAAATTGTTTCAAAGACTCCTGGCAAAATCTCTCCTGGCCTCCGTATAGTTTAGAATTTCATCTGCTTTGGTTTTTCCCAGTTTTGGGGGATATTTACAGATGCCAATCCTCCCTTTTTGGAGGGTGATTTATCCTGGTAGAGGCACTCTGTGCCCAGAGACATTAAAAAGGACAAGAAAACTTGATTAATCTGCATTTCTCAAACTTTGATTGCTGGAATCATTACTAGAGTGTAGTTTTGTGGTGTTCAAGTGGAAATAAAATTTACTGTTATATTTCATAGAATATCCTGAGTTGGATCCACAAGGATCATCGAAGCAAATCCCATCAAAAGAAGATGAAGGTTTAAAAAGAATAAATTAAAAATATAAGTATTTCAGAGCACAAAGCCATTTCTGTAGAGTGGGAAGACAGAAAGGAATAAATATGTTTAGTATTCATAATTATTTTCGAGTATTTCTATTTGTGGTGATTTGTTAAGGTCATTTTTAGCATCATCAGTTTTCTGTGCTGAGTTGCTTTTGAGGGAAGGAAAATTCGAGGTTTGATGAGATTTGTGCAAAAAGAAAGGGACTTTTTTTTAGCTTTATGGGTGCTTTTGGGGATATTTATTGGATTTTTTTTTTTATTTTTTGATCTTTTTGGATCCACTATCCCAGGTTATCAGCCTGTATTGGCAGTAAATCAAATTCTTTACAAATGTCTGATGGAGAACATTATATTAATGAGTTTTCCCTGCAGCACCCCCCAAAGTGGGACATCATTCCTCCAGTCTGGAAAGCAGCCCATGAGAGTTGTCAGTGAGAAGGAATTCCTGGAATTGAGGTTTTTCTCTTTGTTCTTGGGTCAGAACAGAACATCCTGGGGTTTATTTGGGTTTTTTGGCAGTTGGTTTCTTGGTATTTGGGGCTGGTTTGTTTTTGGGGGGGGGGGTTCTGGAATAAGTTTTTGAAGGGTTTTGTGATTTTTTTGTGGGTCTTTTTTGGTTTGGTTTTTTTTTGCTTGTTTTTTGAAAGGATTATTTTGCATTGATGGAGAAAGTGGGACATGAATTGAAAGAGCTGAGAGAAATTGTTGCAGGTTCTGCTCCTGTGAATGGTTCACTTCCATCTTGTTAAATAACATTGGGATTTATTTGGGACAAGAAGAAGAAGTGGGAAGAGCAAACCTGCATTTTTACAAAAAGAAATTGCATATGAAAAATTTTCTAACATATTTCTAGATAAGATATTGAGGTAGGAAATGAAAGTGTGACACTGTTACTTTTTAAACCCAAATTGTCCTTTGCCCTTTGTCTCCTTGCAGGATTTTTTTAAGTTGTTTAGATCCACAGGTAGCACTTGTTCAAAGGAAAGCTTTCAATTTGCTTTTAGAGGACTGTAATTTGATTATAATTTCACGGCTGAACTCATTTGTGCATTTGCAGGCAGGTTTCAAAGGGCTACTTGAACTTAATTTCAGGTTTCCTTTGGTGTTTTCCATAGTTGTCATCTCTGTGGAAGTAAAGTTTTGGAGAATGTCAGAGAATCCCAGAATGGTTTGGGTTGGAAGGGACCTTAAAGCTCTTATTTATGTGTGTTTTATACATATATATGTGTATAATATACCTATATATGTGTGTGTCTATTATGCTGTAATGGCTGGATTTTACCTAAATGGAATTATCTGATGCTTATGAATTTATGGGGATTTTAATATTACTTTAAGTCCATATATGAAGAGTTAGTAAAATTAAAAGTAATTAGATGAAAAGTAATGAAAATAGATTAAAAGAACCTGGTGAATACTTGATTATAGTTTTCATTTATCAGTGACAGATCAGTCCCTCTCTCTGTGACTTTGGTCCAGAAAATTCAGAAATTCAGAAAATGCTTTGACTAATCCAAGTTTAAATGTTTCTCTTAAACCTAATGTGTTTGCAGCCCTAAATGTCAAAAATCAGTGATTTGGCTGAGTGACATTTGACTCCCAATGTATTCCTTTCTGTTTGTGCATTATTTCTGTTCTGAGCTAGAAATGAGTGTTCCACTCACACACATAAAACATGTCAAGTAATCCCAGACCTGCTCTGGACACTCAGTGATCCTTCTTTTCTTCATATGGACTATTAATATTTCCTAATAACTAAAGGTTCTAAATCACATCTGTCCATCCCTGAGTCCCAGGATTTTCAGCAGCTGAAATGTTA